AAAATAAAGGAAAGGCAATAATGAGAATTATCATATTTTCATGCACTCCAAATCATCCACTCTCATTTAAAAGCAGTATTCCACAAAAATAATTCCTAACCTTTTGGTTAAACCATCTATGGAGAAAGACATACTTTAGGACTAAACATCTCTATGCCAAATAGGTAAGGTCCACAAAATTTCAGAAACAAAGTTTAGAAGTTTCATTTTCAGACAGATAAGCTTTGGATTATGCATGTGAAAATGTGGTGTAATATCTACCTGACTGGTAAATTCATCCTTGCTGTAAATCGTTGAATCAAGGAATATTTTCCACCCTGCTACAGACACAGCTTTATGTCCAGAAAACAAATCTGGCAGAGGTGCACTTGCCAACAGATCTTAAAAAGTTCCAGTTCTTTGATTAAACACATCTATTTCTGCAGAGTTCAGTAAATGCGTGAATGGAGCATGTGACAAGCTGTTGGCAGTGTATTTATTTCTACAACACTCTGTAAATCTTGTATCCTCTCATTTTCTTGTCTCTATTACTGTTCTTCAGCACAGCAAGTCTGTGCCCTTCTTGGGAACGGAGATGTTTGGGGCCTGCTGCCCTTAACTTCTAACTGAGATGTGCAATGACTCCTCCAAAATGCACTGGCTCTTGTGCCATATCACTTAAATATTTCTCAGTGTTCAACCAGAAACTTGCAAGAAGTACCTCTGCCATGCAGATCTCTCAGAAAGTATTGACATTGCTAGAAAGGAGGGCAGGAGGGGAGTGGAGGTGAGTGAAGTAAATCTCTAAACTCAAAAATGTCTGAGAAAGACGGTCAAGGGTGTGGATGAGATTTTCTATGGAGTCACTTTTCTCTGTCATATGAATTTTCTGATAGGAAGATACACTCTCCATGAAAAATGCCACAGTGTCATTATGATCTGACTTAGAAACAAATAAAACAGCAAATTAAGCAAGACAGATTAAATGTGAAAAATTTCCCTCTGGCCCTGAAATTCCAGGTTTATTTCCTGCAGAAAGAGGAAAAGCCACCAACAAAGGAGCAGAAGTTTTCCTTTAAGGTTACACGGACAATGGGACCTACAGAACAATGTATGTCAGCTGTTCATGGTATAAGAAAAATAATTATGGTTTAAGAGCCCAGTTTAAAATCAAGGAAGGGCAAAAATTCATTTGTACAAAGTTTAGCACATTTCACAGTAGCAGGGAGCTGAATGAAGAGGGTTCAAATGCTTTGGATAAATCACAGGAACAGACAGAAAAAAATAAGGCAAAATTAAACCAGGACCAGTAAAAAGTGATGTTGGAGTTTTAACTGCTCAAACAGAGGAAGCATGTGGCTAAAGAGCAGTTCTCCAAAACATATTTAGGGGTTATTGGATCAGAGTCAACATGGGTCTGCTGGGGAGAAAAGTAGAAGACAGAAGAGATAAACAGGGTCTGCAGCCTGCAAAACACAAAGAACAGGTAAGGACTACAGCAAATGCCACAAGGCACCACAAAGAGCTGCCACAAAAGAAAGAGCAGCTGCAAAACCTCCATCACTGATTGCCCCTCAGAATGGGTTGGGCAAACATGCCACAGGAAAGCATCCAACCATTCCACCCAGATTGCTGTAACTCCACACACACACCAGGGACACCTTCCAGACCAATTTTTAGTGGATTCTGTATACCATGAAATACCTGGAAATGAGTCAAGGGGATTCATTGCTTTCTCTCCAACATTACTCATATTTCCCCCTCTTTTAGGTTATCCTTACCTTCACATTCAGAGCACCTTTGGGGTTGGAAAAGATCACTGAAGGTCATTTTCAGTGCTCAGTTTGGCTTGGCATACCTGTGGAATAGGTACACACATTCAGACCTGAATGTTTTTAGCATTGTGGGGCTGTATCCCATTTGCTCGATCAGCAGTACAGTTCTGAGGCCTTTCCTTTATTCAGGACTGATGGAGCTTTGTGCTTCCTTGGCTTCACAGGTACACATGAGCATCTCTGCCTTGTGCTTCCTCCCTTGGAATTCCACTGGCATCATCCTCAGCCCTGCACCAGGCTGCTACAAACGCCTCTGTGCTCTAGGAGCTCTCCTTTTCACAGCTGAGGCAGATACACTATTAAAAAGGATCTCTGCTGCCCTCTCTCACCACTTTTAATCCAGTTGAATACGGCAGAGCAGAGATAGAGAGAGAAGCCAGCACTTCAGGGAGAGGAGAGAGGCAGTAATAACATTGGAGAGACATCAGGCACTCAAATGGAGATGGCTGGAGTGCTCGAGCAGAGAACTTAAGAGGTTTATCCCTGCTGGAGAAATAAACTTGATCTGAAAAGAAGCTCAGACCAAGATTTCATCTATTCTGTGGATCTAGATCATAGTAAAAACCTTACTGAATTCATACTGAAGCAAAGCCAGCTTCAGTCACAGCTACACCCAACCCCAAAAATGAGCAAGAGCAATTACTGCTTCATTTCCTTGGTATTTTATTTCCTTGTTGTGTAAAGTGAATGCTGGAGATGAACCTAGAGCTAGGATCTCAGCTGGAGATCAGAGAAGTCAGGAGTATTATGATTTCCATTGCCAAATTAAAGGAAAAGAAAAGAAGTTATTGCCACCACAGCCTAGTATGGCACTGATGTCAGTAACTCACTGACAAGTTTGTGCCTGAGGCTTAAGCTAAGACCCTTACTAGGACAACCTTAGCATCAATTAACAGGAGTGACAAACACTCACATAAAGGAACTTTCTACAATCACTCTTTTGCCTTCACTGTCAATGTAGAAGGATTAACAGAGATATCACTGTCTGCACATGAGGGTAAATATTAGGACTACCCCACCCAAAGCCCATGAGGACTTGCTCAGCACTAGGTGACTGGACAATAAAATGCCAAAAACCTCAAGAAAATGGGATTATGACAAACTCCCAACGTGTCCATGTCTGGAGGATTGCAGAGAATTCTGGTTGCCAGAGCTGGAAAAGAGTCCAACAGAATGGGGAAGGAGCAAAGAAGGAAAACCAGCTCCTGACCACAGGAGGAGACAGAGTAGGAAGGTAGCAATCTTCAGGGTGGAGAACAGGTATCTAAATGAGACATAGCCAACTTAAAATCATGAAGGGAACACAGGAGGCAAGTATGCAAGACATTATTTTTCACAACAGAGCTCCAAAACACCCAAATAACACTTGGCAGGCCAAAATCCTAGCAAAGGGGGTAAAACTTCAACAGCTCTCTACTAAATTGAGGGTGGCACTGAAAAAGGAGGCTATGAAGACAAGAGAAGAAGAAGCTTCTGAAGAGTCTGTGAGTTTCAACATGACAGAACAGAAACTCTAAGGTCAAATTGTCCACTACAATGAGTTTTTGAGAAGTGCAGAGAACACACAGGTGAGAAAGAAACAAAAATTAAAATCAAGAATCTTGCCCTTCTACAGGGACCACCCTAACTACTCCTCAATGTTCCTAGTCACAGCTCCAGCATTTGGGGATAGTCCAAACTCCTCTGAGTACACCATATCCTGGTGGTTCTGCTACAGGCTAAGAGGTAGCAGTGTGGTTCCACAGTGAATTGTTTGATGGGCATCTCCAGCACTTTCAGTAGGCAGCACAAAGTGGATTAAGCAGACCAGAGAATTCAGATCCAGTAACCCAACCAAGTCACCTTTGTTCTTTCTGTCACTAGCTCCATGCACAAAACACCAGTTGGACTCAGCTGCTGGTTTTAATTTAAAACATACACAGTTTTTGCTGAATATTATCAAGTGGAGGTTTGAAAAGGAAGATGAAAAAACACCTTCTATTAGTCACATGTTAAAAGTTGGTTTTTTACTCTTAGAATAAGTCTGAAACACTGTCAGCTCCAGCACCTTACCTACTCTATCAGGCTAGGGGAGGTTATCAGACTGGCCTCAAGAAAGTACAGGAATTCCTAGAGTTACAGAGCCCCTCTAACATTTTGTGCAACTAAATATCATTTACCACTACAGATAATATACCACAATGCATGAGGTAGCTCAGCAGATACAATCCAACAATGCTTTTACCATAAAGAAAATTTTTAAAAATGGCTAAAGGTTTCAAGACAACCTAAAACTGAAGTCAAACCGAACTGGAGATTTGTGTTCCTTTTGGCATGGAATAGCCAAAGATGTTCTGATCTAGTGCTCTGAGTACAGGCAAGGCAGCTCTGCTTCTGCTGGGCACTGATGCCTCCCTGACCTTGGGAGGAGCAGCCCAGCACAGCAGCTCAGAGCTTTGTGCCCCCCTCAGGACCTCCCTGAAAATGAGGCACACTGCTGCACTTTTATACACACTTTAACCCCAACAACCCGCAGCCTAAAGTTGGAGCAAGAGGGGGCTTGGCTGGGGCTGGAAGGCAGAAGGACATGATCATCTCAATTAGGAAAATCAAACATACCCAGCAAGAAAGAAGAACGCTGCAGTGCAGCCCTCAGCACAGATTTTTCTAGGGAGGAGAAGGAAAACAGCCATGAATCAGTAGGAGAAATATGACTTTAAAGCCCCAACAAAGGGGAACAGATGGGAGCATAGCAAAGTGCTCAAAACTTGAACTGGAATAGCTGTCTCTTAAGAAAACCTCTCCAAATATGAAAGCTCATCAGACATCTGCAATTAAATCCCCTATTAATCCCGACTTTATTTTAAAGGCAGTTGAACCAGGCTACTGATAGTGCTATCGACAGACTGAAAACTATACCAGGAGGACAGAGATGGTGAAACAGAATTGAGAAGAGCCAAAATACAAACTAAAACCCCAGGATGACAGGGCTGGTTTTTCCACCTCCGCCTCCACATAATTAAGATCCTCCTGTAGGTTTTATCTCTAAGTGCTGGAGGGGGTTAGGGCTTCAGTATTTCTGACTCACCCTGATTTCTTACATGCTCACAGGAATGAAGATAGGGAAAGTATCACCACTTCTGTATTATGGAAACCTTGCAATTAATAATTGAGAATCTTTTTATCTCTCTCTCCCTTTTTCTTTCAGAACTAGAGTGCTCTCTTCAGCTTGTTAAGCTTAGTTCACTCCCACTGATAATTCACTAGAGATCATAATTTATGGACAATTGAAGCTGCAGAAACATCTCTTAGAAGGAATAGAGCAGATCCATAGCAACAATTCTTCAGGGGAATATTAATCCCCAGCTTTATGTAGTGCTAAGTGTACAATAGTAATCAGAACTTGAGTAGAAGCTGCTAATCATTGAGGGAAAAGGCTGTATAAAGAATTCATAATGGAATTAGCCTGCGGCAAACAAAGAAAGACAAAATTAAATCAGCCATCAAATTGCACCAAGGAATTTTAATTTACAGGTTAATGTAGGATTATGTAACTAATCACAGCTAACATTTTCAATGAACAACCAATAAAATTCTGCTCTTTTTTTATTCCTGCTAATGGTATTCCAATAACACACTTTTATCACCATATAATGTGTTAAGAATGATTTTCAAAAATTCTAAAAATCTTCCAAAAAGCATTATGACTGAGCAATCAATGCAAAATGCTGGCTTTAAGTTAATTAGCATAAATATACCTCTAGATGATCTACTGTTTGTTTCAATCCAATACAATAAAGTTCCTTGGAGTCTGCATAGGACAGATTTACATAACCAAATGTGCATAACTGTAGCCTTAAAATATATGCATGACTTCCAAAGAGGGAGATATAGAATACAGAAAGCCTCCAAATTAAATAAGTCAAACAACTTCTGAGTACGGAAGTGCACCAGCTAATTCTAAATAAAACCCTTATTATAGTTTTTTTCTATCAATACAGCATATATATCCTATGACATACGCACAAAGGATTGCTCTAACAGAGTTTGTGCTGTTTATAATATGAACATCATAAAAAAGAATAAGGTTTCTGAGATAAAAAGTTGATTTGCTTCCCCCAGAGAAAAAAAAAGAAAGGCCTCGTATTTGACCCAGTTATATTTTGATATTGGCCAGTGCAAGGAGATTTTAAAAGCGACAGAAAGAAAGGAAAACCTCTCTGTTCAAAAACATGTATTAAAACCCCACTAGTTACTGTATGCTAATACACAGAAAAGACTCACATAACTCTTTGCACATTTTTTAAAGAGAAACACCGAAATTATACTGTATGCTTCAAAACACATCAGCTTAATCAAAAAGATCTTTTTTGCAACATATGGCAGCACGAAAATTTTTATAAATGGAGTAAAAAGCACTTTCATAAGCTTTACTTCACTTAAGAGGAATGCTAGGAAGAAAGGCAACAGCATTCTTCCTGCATATGTTTTTCTTGTTCTGAACAATGTGGGAAAACCTCATTTTACTTTAATCTAACAGTCCATTTTATGGAGGCAGCAACATTCTGCCCATTTATTAGCACAGAGGGTTTGGGGTTGTGGGTTGTTTTTTTTTCCCCCTTCCTTTTATAAAGTCTAATTTTAAGATGCACACTTCCAAAAAACATTATGGTGTCAATTGCACTACCCTTCAGCAATCCTGTAATAACTTTATTCAACCATTTCTAATTATAATTATATTTTCAATTCCTTTTAGCTATAGAAACTCTTTATCAATCAGAGCACAAGACAGAAAATTACTTTATTACAGCTACAGCTCGTTAGTCTGAGTGCTCTTAATGAAGCAGCCTCATAATCAGATGAAAATCATGCTGAAGAAAACTTGCATCATTAGTCTGGGCCTTAATTACCAAGAAATATAGTCACTAACAATGATACTCCATTTCATGATACGGTGCATGCACCTTCTACAGTACTTGCAATTAATAATTCCGCAGACTGCTACAGAATCTTTCTATTTATTCATAACAATGGAGGGGAAAAAATTCTAAATTTAATTGAGCGGCTCCAAATGCACTCTCTCACTCTCTCCTGCTCAGATTAAAATGTCAAAAGGCTAATATTCTATCTTACAATAATTCATCATTTTAATTACATATTTTATGTGTGTGGAATGTCCTTTTTATTTTTTCTCCTCTTGATCATTTAGGGCGACATTTTGGGGGTACATGTGTATGGAAAAAAAAAAAAATCTCTCATTGTACGTTGGTGGACCACACCACACAGAGTTACAATAAAGAGAAGAAAAAGCATTTCTTTTCCTTGCCAGTGAACGAGGATAAGCCTCAGACATAAGCACAAGACATTCATTTAAATTAATGATGTCCTTCATCCAGCACACTTATCAGCGAGAATGGAAAGATTCTCGAGCGAGGAATATGTTGATCCCTAAAATCCTTTATGAACATGATCCATTGTAGGGTTAGTAACTTTTATACACAAGCCTCTTCTAATCCACTGCATTTTCTGTATTCTTTCACACGGAATGCTGGTCTGAAGTCTCCAGCAAGCTCCTGGCAAACGAGAGCATCGGGAAATGCCGTAAGAGCCCCTTCATCCAATTAATGAACCCGCTAAAAGATCAGATCACAATCCTCGACACCCAACACCTGGGGGATATCTCACTCCAATTTGCAGCATGGAAAATGATTCCACAGACATCAGCAGGAGTGTTCACACCTCACAGGGACAGACCTGTCCCTGCTCCAGCTCTGTCCCTCGTCGCCACTGAAGGCCGTCAGGATCCCAAGGGTGACAAGGAACGGCGTTTTCCAGAGCATGGACAGAGGTGGGGAGCAGATCCTGCTGCTCTGCTGCCTGCAAAGCCGCACTTTGGCAAACGGGGGATTCCACTCCACATCAAAAATATCTGACATTGTGATTTTTGCAAAGCGCCCAGCCCTTGACTGCTCAGCTGCTATCTGAGTAAGTCACATTAGAGCAGAAGAGATTGCTCTGGAGTTAAGTTACTGAGCTGTGATTAATCTCAAGGGCATAAGCTAAATAACTCCCTTGTACCATTGAATTTTCTAGCACTCACACGGTGCTGTGCTTTCATGCAAGCACTTCAAACAGCAACTAGCCATTAGACAGGCTAGATGAACTTGCTGTAAATATATTCAGCATATCCCGCTTCCCGGCACTGTCGCCTCTGCTAAATGATTTGCTGCATCTCCCGATGGTCTTTGACAAATCATTGGCATCTTTTGAAGCCTTTTGCGACCCCTCCCAACAGAGAAAGTGAGCTCCCTTCTCCTGAAACAGAAAGTAAGAAACTCCCTGCCCTGTTTTTGCTGCCTCTCATATGTGGCACATTTGAGAGCTAGTAAGCAAAAGAAGGAAAAATGAAAATCGGCCTTAAGTCCTGTAAAACAAATCTCTATGTAGATTGAATGAATAAATAAAATAAATAAAAAGGCTTTCTGCCCAGTCTCTCCTGCAACTTTTATTTTCCTACCCTCCTGCCACACCTCAGTATTTTTTATTTTAGGAGAACTTCTTTTACGTAGTTCCTTCAAGAATTTGCATCTGGCACCAGCAGCCGACAGAGACAGAAGACTGACAAGATGGACTGTTGTGGCAATTCCTATGTTCCTACTACATTCCTAAGCTGTGCTTTTTGGCATTGAATATGGCAAAAATAAAAGACGGCATATTTAGAAACGTGACAACTGGGAAAAATATTCTTAAACCTTACAGTGCCTTCTAAAATGGCAGAATAAAATTAATTTATAGTATGACTATAGCTGGCCAAGAACCAGGGGTTCACAGTAAACCAAATGGGGTAAAAAACTGGCTCTGCAAGCAGTTCTGAGGTTTTGGCTCTGTCCAACAACTACACTTATAAACTTACTGTACAACTTACTGGCAACAGAGGAGCATCAGACTGACCTCCACTTGCATCACAGAAACTACACATTCATTGTCTTTGAGGCAAAAGTGTTCCTATGGTACCATATTAATATCGTTTGTGGGTCGGGTCATGAATCAGCATTGGCAGCCACTGAAGCCGTCTGCCTGCCAGCCTTCCCAGCTGGAAAACTGGTGAGGCAGGAGAGATGTATACATAAGGGAAGTGATGGTTTCCCAATTCCGAATTGATTTGTACATGAATCCGCTCAGGTTTAAAGCGCCCCGACGTGCCAAAAACCTGGTCCAAGGAATGTATGGGATGGTGAGCGCTCCCTGCGCGGGCTCGGGGAGAACATCAGCGGGGATGGGTTTGTGCACACGCTCCGCTCCTCGTGGCGGGGGCGACGCTTCCACGGGGGAAGAAGTTTAGTCTGGCTAAAACTGAGATTTTTTTTTTTTTCCCTAGATTTTCCTAAACTTTCTTTTATTATCCCCCAACACACACACACACACCCCTTTTTCTGCGGCGGAAAAAAGGGGCGCAGGGAGGGAAGGAGGAGGTGTCGCTGCGCTCCGGGCCGCGGGGCAGCCCCGCCGCGCTGCCCCCGTGCCTGAGGGCCCGGCGCCCTCTGCCGGCCGCCGGAGCTGCGGGGCCGCGGGTTCGAGCCCCGGCTCCACGGGTTCCAGCCCCGGTTCTGCGGGTTCCAGCCCCGGTTCTGCGGGTTCCAGCCCCGGTTCTGCGGGTTCCAGCCCCGGTTCTGCGGGTTATGAGCCCCGGTTTCCGCGGGTTCGAGGCCCGGTTTCGTGGGTTATGAGCCCCGGCTCCGCGGGTTCCAGCCCCGGTTCTGCGGGTTCCAGCCCCGGCTCCGCGGATTCCAGGCCCGGTTCCGCCGGTTCCAGCCCCGGTTCTGCCGGTTCCAACCCCGGTTCTGCGGGTTCCAGCCCAGGTTCTGCGGGTCCCAGCCCCGGTTCTGCGGGTCCCAGCCCCGGTTCTGCGGGTTCGAGCCCCGGCTCCACGGGCTACGAGCCCCGGTTCGAGCCCCGGTTCCGCCGGTTCGAGCCCCGGTTCCGCCAATTTCAGCCCCGGTTTCCGCGGGTTCGAGCCCCGGTTCCACCGCTTCCAGCCCCGGTTCCACGGGTTCCAGCCCCGGTTCTGCGGGTTCCAGCCCCGGTTCCGTGAGTTCGAGCCCCGGTTCTGTGGGTTCCAGCCCTGCCATCACAAGCCAAGCCAACGCTTCCTGAGTAATTAATAACGGTGAGTAATAAACCACCGTGCTGTCACTCAGCTCTCAACCCCCACCTAAAAGTAGCTGGGACAAGAGGGAATTTATATCTGCCCGTACCAACTGTTCAATAGTAAGAAATCACTTTTGGAGGCGCAGACTGGCCCCAGCCACCGTCCCTGGCAGGAGGAGCATCACGACTGGGTTTCAGCACGGGTGGCAGAGGTGGGACCCTGAAAACCCTCCCAGACCATCAGAGGCTTGGAGCAGAGGTGCCACAGCTGTAGAGCACAATGGTAGCCTCAGTCACAAGATGTCAATTGTCAGACCTGCAGGCCTTAAACCAGAGAAGGAGGACGTGCAGTGACCAGCACAGAGAGGAACTATTGCATTTTACCTGTCCAGGTGTTTTCTGTAGTCCCAGCCTCGGCTTCATAGCTCACACCCCTGAACTACAGTTTAGCTATTAGATCAGTCTAAGTCAGCATTTCTTCACACTTCATCTTCTTAATTCTTGTTCCAAATGAAAGTTGTGTTTGCTTACTCCTCCTCTTCTTCCCCCAGAAAGATTTGTCCCAGTCTTAGAAACTAATCCTTCAAGGAGAAAACAGGATTAGACTGGCAATGCCATGGTTTTGGTAGTAGAATAGCTGTGTTTTCCCAATCGCTCATGAATCCAACCTGCAGGTACAAGGCATTGGTCTGAGCTCCCAGCTGCTCCAAATGAGCGCCGTGCTGCCTGCGTTCCTGGCCATGCACCTCCTCAGCTGCATTCCCTGCAAGCAGCCAGGGGAGAAGTTCCAGCAAAACACAAGGAAGCTCCAGACGTGGAGCCAGACTGCTGCAGCAGTAGGAAAGACAATTTTTCCTCAAGTAAAGACATGCCAAGTCTCTTGGTTCCCGTGCCTCTCGCTAAAATTACCTGCTATAAAATCCAGGTGGAATGTAAAATGCACTTAAAAAAAAATACTAAACCAAAACAAATAGGATTTCTTGACTTTTGCTTGAGAAAGTAGTAGAGATTACAGCTGAAGGGCATGGTCCACCTAGATGGAGAGCAATAGGCAGCTAAGAGAATATGCAGCAGTGACAATTTGGTTGGAAAAGAGGCCAGACATGAGACATCTTGAGGAAATTAAAGGACAGCTCTACTGTGTGACAGTCTTCAGTCACTGTACACATACAATCTACTTCCACATAACCCATTGCACCTTTAGTGAAAGTATAGCAGTATTCCAGTGTGAGATGCCTGCACTTCCCACGGGAAGACCGTTCTTATCCCCATCCTGGTTTTGCACTTAACTTCAAGGCAGCCCTGCCTGCTCTAAGACTGCAGGAGCTCACAGAGAGCAGGGCAGGGGAAGGACAGGCCTGGAGGGGTCTCTAGGTCTGCCCAGCTCTGGACAAACTCCCTGCTGCCTTCCCAGGGCCGCAGTCACTCAGGCCATGAGCACAAAACCCAGTTTGCCTACACTGATCCCCAACTCAGCAAGGCACCCAAAGCTCTCCCTCTCTCCAGCCTGCAAGAAGCATTGCACAGGAGGGTTTCAACTGGCCACAAAGACCAGTCAGCCACCACCAAGACACACAATGTCTTCTCCTCCTGCATCACCATTCCCCCACCTCCTCTCTCCCAGACTCACTATTTGTTTTCCCCACATGCTCTGGGAGAAGGGAGCCATTGTGGGATATTTTGTTAGTGGTGGTGAGGTATTAATTTGTTGGTGTGTTTTCCAAAGCCAGTGGGCACAGGGTGAGGCAAGCCCGTGCAAGTGTGCAGCAGCAGGGCTGTGAGCTCCCGTCAGCCCGAGTGGCACATTGCCTGGGGACACTGACGAAATACTTGGGCTTCTGCTTGATTGCACAAAATGCCCCTGAAATTGCCAGGTCAGGAGGAAAGGTGCAGTGCAGGAGGTGACACACAGATAGCAAAACCCTAAAAGACCAGCCAAAATCCCTGACCCCTTCTGTTCCTATAGCGGTGCCCATGAGCCAGGAAATTCACCCCACACCCTTCAAAAACCACAGATACTGAAGGTTTATCAGCTCTTCCTTCACAAGCATCAACAGAATCACCCATAACCTGTGTCTTCCAAGCACTTTTAAGACTCTTACCATGTGAAAACATTTGGTAGGTTTTGCTGCTGTTGAATGATTTTTTTCCTCTTCTTATACAATGATGTGGTTTATCTTATTTGCTCAATGGGATCACTGCCTTTTCAATGAAGAGCCTATTTTAAATATCAACACAGGTTGGTATTTTAAGAGTTATTTAAAATGTCACCAGTCACAGAATGTTTAATTATTGCAAACATCTTTCAAAAAATTCCACCGTGGGTTTCTTGCGCCAAGTGATTTATTTCGGATATAATTTCTGTTTAATTAATAGGGGATTTAGCTCTGACCTGGAGGGTGTGAGAACCAGCAGAGGAGCTGGAGTTGAGTCAAGTTAACATTAAACCTGCTTGTGCCTGTTGGAGGCTGAGAAGGAAAAAAAAAACAACAAATCAGGCTGGCACTTATTCAGGTGCTGCTGCTACCCAGCAATATTCTCATGTTGATTGCAATGGAAGAATTGTAAAGGCAAACACAACTTGGGGGGTGGGGGGGTAAGAATTAATCACTAGAATATGAACACTGTGCTTTGTTATTTATTTTAACTATGTATATAATTTGCTATAGAGTATAATTACCCCTAATTTCAGCTGAGATAATATCTGGGCCACTCTTTGTTATTAATATAAGCTCAGAGAGCAGTTTCTCAATCACTCTGGCCTGGAATTCCTTACACCTTGAGAACAATTGGAATCAAGAACTAAAAGGCTATTTTGGGAGGAGCAAAAAAAAAAAATAGCGCACCTACTTAAAAAAAATTACAAAATTGGAAAATGCCTAATCTATGCTGCTCAAAACACCAGGTTACATCAGGACCAACTTTAATATCCTGTAAAAATCTCTTAGTATGACGCACATACAGCTGTCTAATATTGCTGCTTAAAATGCCTTCGCGTTAAATAAGATTCTATGCTGTAAAATTTTGCAAGGTGATAAAACAAAAAAATGATATAATAAATATAAACCATCTGCATTTTTTAACAAGCCATTTGGAAATGGATTTAATTTATATTTAGAATTGTTTTGAAGTGTTCTCTTTTTTGAAAATGTCCCAGTTACAGTATATTAGGTTTTCGGTAGAAAGATTAAAAGAGCTGACGCACAAATAAACATGCATGCACACCCAGAGCAATTTCCAGAGCTATGAGAGCATTTGATTCTTCAAGGATACTACAGCTGGCTTTTAGTCACATAAAAAGGGTTAGAGTGTGCAATCGGCAGCTCTGGAAAATGGATTCATGAATACAAAAATGCATTAAAACAACATTAAGATTTTGGCAACAACCAACACAAGCCAGGAAACCGAGCTTCAGGCTGAACTCTCATCCTTAACTCCTTCCCCGGTGCTTGCTGAAAGGGGAATCGTTCTGCAGGAGGGGAAAGCCCATCCTGGGGCTTCTGAACATCACAGCAGAGACACGAGGGGAGCCAGGACTCAGCATGGTCAGGGCAGAAGAGAGAATGATGCTTTTTGGTATGACCCAGCTCCCGTGGCACTATCTCCTCTAAGAGACACACATCTTGTGTCACAGCTCTGTTCAGCCCACTGCAAAGCTTTCCACTGGAATCTGGATTATTTCTGCTGCCTTGCACTCCTGCCCCGCTGCACAGGGCGCTGCCTGAGCATTTGTTTCCAGCAAACCTCCAAAGCCAGTGATGATCCCTCCAAAACAGGGATGAGCCAGCGCTGTCCAAGGATCTCAGCACTGCAAAGGGCTTTGTATGCCCCTGCACCACTGCCCAGCACCCTGGGCCCCCTCCCCTCTCAGCTCGCCATCAAAGCTTAGAGACTGGTATTTGCCTTTTTGAACTCACTGCAGTTCAGCAATCCCCAAAACCACAGAGTGTTTTTATTCTGAGGAATCCCACTCCTAGAAGAACTGATGGTTTTGGCTGGTTTTGCCTCCAATTCGTTTCCTCTCTACAAATCCTTTCTTAATATTAAAAATCATTTTTTTCCTCCCAATACATGGATGGTGGTATAGTACAAAAAAAAGAATTTTTTTTTAAAAGGGTTATTTTTTTGTCTGTCCAAGCAGGCAATGTATAAATAGGATGGAGGCTGTAACCACTTTACTTCTTTTGCTATTTCTTCTCCCAGCAGAGCAAGAAGCAAGGAAGCATTACAAAGTATGAGAAAGTTACTTTTTAAAATAAATTAAGCACTGTATTAGTACTACAGGCATTATCATGCCTACTAATAAATATCTGAATGGTCATTTGTTTAATTTTAAATCATTCACTCTATTAATAAGCAAATGCACTATTGAGCAGATATCAAATGTAATTCTTCTGCCTGAAAACAGCTTCTGAGGATGTTAAGTTCATCCTCATTAAGAAAAAAAAAAAGGCTTTTATTGGACTTTCTCTTTCTATTTTATCATTTAATTACCTGGTGCTAACATCTGATCGATGACATCAAAGTTTGAACAAGCCAGGGATTTTTCAAAGATGCACCTCTGGACAGAAAACTGCATTCACAAGCCCAGCATTTTGCCTTTTTTGGTGCCTAATTGCCTTTCTGTACCAATTAATGTACAGCTAACAGAGATCCACTCTCTCTGCTGTAGGATACACAATATAAATTCTCTGTGCCCTCTCTTGTGTGCTCCTTCACAGCTTCTCTGTTAGCATCATCACAGCTCACTGTCTGCTTGAGTATTCAAGTTTCTTACTCACTTTGTTTTTTTCTTTCCTTCCCAGAAAGCCTTCACTGCTCATGCAGCCTCAGGAATGTCAGGACTCGGAAGGAAATTTTTTAAATCTAATTATAAGCTTGTATTTATATTTTCACCTTGCAGTTTTCAAGCTGTGAAGGAGAGGAAGAATTCCTTTCAACCTCTGAAATCGGGAAGTGCTGCCAAAAAGATTTACACAGCTGGCATCTCACCCCCAACACATAAGGTGGAGCAGTCATCTCCAAGCAATTCCTCCTAACCTTCCTATGTAATTCCTCTGTTCCCTTTCCTTATTTCTGGGGACTTTGAATTTGTGGTTTCTGTCCTGAAAAAAAAAAAAAAATTAGAAAGAAACAGAGGAACTTCAGATCTCATTTGTATCTACTTTCTCAGTTTTCACTCACTCAACCAAGGAGAAAAAAAGTTGTATTTTCAGAAGAGAGGAAGGGTTTAGCGGTTAAAAGATCATTCTTTAGCTGTTTTCTGGATTGCTTGTTTCCAAATAAGAATGCATGCCAAAGAAAGAGTAGCTGCCCAGGGAGCTGGAGCTCCTCAAGCAGAAAAGACACTGGAATGGCAAGATGGCAAGACATTTCCAGCAGGAAGTTAGCCTTACAAATCATCATTTCTCATGTGTTCCCAAGCCACCTATTTTCAACATCAGAATTCCTCAGAAGCAGTAATCTTCAGCACCAACAGTGTCAGAATAAGAATTTTAGACAAGGAGAAAAACAAGAGAAAGTTAACGTGATAAAAGTCTGAGAGTAATGTAAAAACTGCTTTGGGGGAGACTGTTTTCCTCTCTGGGTTTCCCCACTTCCTCCTAACAAGGACTGGAGAAAAAAGAAACTCCTACATCATGAAATAATTTTGTCCTTTTTTTTTTTTCAGATCTTCAGATGCACACAGAGAGCATGTTCCAAACAACAAACAAAATCACAGATCTGAAAAAAAAAAAAATACAACCACCACCATCAGGGCATGAAGAAGGTTTGGGGCTGTGTAACAACAGTGGAAATCACTGAACAGCACAACCTAAACCTGTTCTTAGTAATGGACCAAGATAAGGCATAATGCTGTTTTCAAGGCAGGAATTTTTCCTTTGTCATTAAAAAAAAAAAAAAAAGGGGGGGTAACTGCAGTCCACTGTAAAAATAAAATAACAAAATGGGGAAAGAGTGCTTGTTACTTGCCTCTACATTCTTAATTTATGGAGCATTGCATTGTAGGACACCCTGAAGCCCATTGATGGACTGTTGCACAGACCAGAACCAAAATAAATAAATAAATAAATAAATAAATAAATAAATAAATAAATAAAATGTATTTCAAGGCTTCCTCCTTTCTTGGCCAGGATGCTCCTTCACCTTTTCCCACCCTGGGCTCAGCTCCAATAATGTATTATTCCTCTTTCCTCTTCTTCCACCCCTTTCTCCTCCTCTCCATCTTCTACTGGTGTTTTTCTCCTTCATGCTGCAGTAGAGGCAGTGGATGTTGATGAGGTGATAGTTGGGGCAGTTCTAGCAAAGCAGCTTTTCAGATAATTTCTCATGACCTTGACATTCAAACGGTTCCTTTTAACACAGAATACAGATCTACTTGCCCATATTTCAGCCTGCAGTAGTCACTGGAAATCACTGTAGAATTTAATAGTCACTGGGAAAGTCTGAGAGGCAGGAATATTTGATAGGAGCCCTGATTTCACTCTCTCTCTCCCTTTCTCTCAAGAAAAGTTGCTTGCAATCATTATCTTTGCTCTAAGAGTGCACATGTCTTATGGGCAGCCAAGACTGCAGCGGGAAAACAAAAGGTAAATTTCAGTAAAAGCATTATTACAAAATCTAGTCAAGCATTGTAAATAGAACTGCCATATTATTATTGAGAAAAGGTGTAGTGCCCATGCAAACTACATATTTGATTAGGATCTGAACTCTTTGCTGAACCATGAATCTGAAATAATTTAGGTGATACATATAAATTTAATTTCTTTGTTCAACATTCCACATCTGAAATGATGCACTGCAAATGTGCAGCTCTCACTGAAGTCTGCAAAATGAGTCTTCTTATAACTCGCCTATACTGTGTGGAAATAATCTGAAATAATCTTAAAGGAAAAGGAATAAACCTATTTTAAAAACAGCTGAGTCCTTTAGATTGTATACCATAACCAATTTATGGAGATAAATGGAATTCAATATTAAAGAAATACTGGGTTTTTCCCCTCCTGTGGAAAATTTAAATGCAGAAACAAAAGGTTAAAAAAAAAAAAAAAAAAAGAGAAAGAAAAAGAAAAAGAAGGAAAGAAGTGGTAAGATACAAGAAATACTTGGCTATTTTTTCTCTGTCAGTGCCTGCTAGAGGCACTGCACCTTGTTTTTCCTGGCCCAAGCTAAAGGCAAGCTGATTGTGGAAATGACTCATTCCGTCTCTATAATGGAGATACACCAGCTATTGGACATCTTTATTTCTCATTCATTAAATGAATCCAGTGTCTACTGCTGTGATAGCCATCAACAGACACAGACAAGGAAATAAAAAAAAAAGGGGGAAAGAGCAAGAAGGAGAATACAAATGAATATTATAGACTACTGTATGGGCCCTATTACTAAAAATGAATACAAAATACTCTAAAAAAAATACATTAAGCCGGTATTGGCTTACAATGAGGTCAATATTGTGATTCATTTAACTCAGGGGACAATAAATCTTGATATTGACTGAAAACATAAGTCAATATGCGTACTGTTGTGTGCATTCCATTATAAAAACGAGGGGGTAAGTGTAATGGAGAGCACTTTCAGAAGAAAATGAGTTTTGCCCAAAGATTTTGTCTGGTTTTTAAATTCACCGCTGCAGAGCAGCACAACTGGGTCCTCAGCCCTCGGCTGGGGCTGGGCTGGGGCTGTGACCATCTCATCCCACAGACACTGGAAAGCTCCTGCACAAATGGGAGCCTTAGAGGCCCAGAAAAGGTGACAGGCAGTGAAGACAGTGACCTTTAAATGGCTGATCTGGTAATATTTAGGGACAACTTCAATGAGGAGAAGTCAAATATAACCAAACCTTTCATACTAATATGGAAGAAAGGCGTCAGAGGATCTGTCTAGAGTCCTTCAGCTTTAAGTTGTGTTGAGCTGTAAGATTCCCCTTCTCTAATGATCTGAAAAAATAATTAATTAAAAACAAAACAAAAAAAGAGCAAAACACCCCACACACACGCAAGAAGAAAACCCTCACATTTTTAAAAACATCAGTTAAAAGCAGAGGTTGTATGCCTAATATCCAAGATCCCAGGGCAGCTGAGTTCCTACTCTGAACTCTCCCAGTGCAGCCTGGCACTGACACAAGACCAGGCAGAAAAACCAAGAAGGCCTCACAGTGCTCAGAGCTCTGGAAATTTGCAACAAAAAGCCCCATTTTTGCAGAAACATTTTGATGTCAGCAGACTGGCTGGCCCAAGACATTGTTCTGCTGGAAAACTCCCACCTACAGCTGAACTGTAGACACTGGCTTACCTACCTGTGCTGTCTAAGCACACTTACATTTCTCCCTCACTGCAAGGTCTTCCAAAACATCTCTTAAAGACCAGCTTTAAGGCCAAGTGCCACAGGGAACCCCCATGCAGCTCCAGCTGATTCCATTAGCACCCAACCTCCTGCATCTACAAACACTGAGCCTGCAAAGTGGGCACTTCCTAAAAGTCAAAGAAAAAGCACTACACTGCTTTTAAAAGTCCTGCTCTTGTAAAAACATCCTGTTTAACTGAAAAAGTTGTGCTACTACCAGTGGAATGCTTCAACAGTAAAATTAAGTTTTCCATGATCTCCAGGAACAGCCTGTGATGTCCCAGGCAATCGTCTGGCCCCAAGTTACTGATCTTTGGAGTTAATCAAGGTGAAAAGCAAAATTTACTTCTTTCAGCACATGACCAGCTTCAGCAAATCAGCAACCAACCCCTTTCTGACCTTATATCCAAAGATGCTGCGCCCTCACCATCACTGCCCAAGTCCCCAGGAAAAGGGATGGGCAGCAGATGCAGATGAGAAAAAGATCCCACCCACCAGTAATATTGCCAAAGGAAAATCACAGGACCAGAACAGAGGTACTCAGGAATCCAGCTCTCATGCAAGCCAGGATGACACACCCCTATATGGGTGCATGTACACATAAATACACACACATTTCTGTAACACAGGGAGAAGGAAATGTGAGTAGGGGTACCTGTAGTGAGTGTCCTCTGCATAAAAGTAGCATGGCAACATGCTACAAAATAGTGTAAAAAGGCAGAAGACCACTTCTCACAGGACAAGCTGGTGTCACAGAGCCAGAATGTCACCCACACTGTTTCACAAGGCAGCAGTGCCCTCTTCAACCTGCTTCCATCCACTGGCTCCGGGACAGCAATCAATGCCCACATGCTGAGCTGTAACCACTGAGAGCACTCCTGCCTTAATGCAGCCCAGAGAGAAGCCAGGAAGCTCCATGCCACTGGCATGCACAAAATTCAGAGGTTACAGAAGCACCCTGCACAAGTAAGTGAAAAATGCAGCCTGCAGCTGTTTAGGAAAGTGTATGTCCCAGCAGGCTTAGGGACAGAGCACTGAGGCATCTAACGTCATCATCTCACTTAAACATCCAGGAAAGAGTGGCAGACACTAAAATTACTGTTCATTACACCCACCACTCCTATCTGGGTATGGGTTCAGTAATGTCTGTCTCTCTCCTAGTCCAACCTATTGTTCCAGCCAGGACAGGGTTAATATTTGCAGTAACCTGGAGAGGGTAGCAGGTATGGCCAGGACCAGAGTCTCTTCCAGGGAGAAGGGTCTCTTCCAGTTGGCAAAGCATGGAGAGGGAGCAGTTGGGTGTTATATCTGTTGTCAGAGGATATCCTTGAGAATTGCTCACCTCTTTCTTGTACCCTCTGTCCTTATTACCGTTGCTGTTTATTTTCTAATCTCATTGCTGTTTCAAATAAATTGTTCTTATTTTAATATGTGAGCTTTACCTTTTGTGCCTCCAAATCTCCTTTCCATCCCACTCCTGGAGGAAGTGAAGTAGGAGGGAGCAAGATGCTCGTGGTTTGGAGATTCTCAGTGGGAGCACTAAACTGGGGAGTACCATTCCTAGACCATGACCTGTATGCTTAAAGAAAAGCAAAAGAATGCATAGGCAATGACCTCATAAGATTTCTTGCTTTATGTGACATCCTCCTTAATACGCAGCAGTGATTTGCCTGTCCCTATGGTGCTCCTGACAAAGACAGCTCACAAGGATCAGGCCAGCAGCAGAGGCAGAGGGAAGGACATCCCAGTAATTTTAATGGACATGTCAGCACTCTGTTGTCCTGCCAACCTTGTTGAATAAGCCTTCTCTCAGCAGAGAGCACATCCTTGCTGGGAAGGAGTAGTCAGAGCCTTGACCAAGGCCAATTTCAAACCTCAAGTCTGGCTATGAGCACTGTTGGACTCCAGCAAGCCTCGATGCAGGTCTTGGTCACATTACTACATGTCAGCAGTTTACAGACATGCTGCTGCAGCCAAAGCTTTGCCTGAACCCCTCCAAGAGGAAAATCAACACATGCCTGTGTTTGTGTCTGTACAGAGATTACCTGGCTTGGCTGCTTGCAAACAAACTCTGTGCCCTGTCGTGCTGAGAGCCTGGTGTCTGGCATAGAAGGGAATTCCAGCTCCCCTGGGCAGCAGCCAGGTGCCCTCTGGCAGTGGGGCACTGGATCAGGGGGAACTGGGATGCAGCTCCATCATGACAGCGTGCCCACACATCCAGGCACGGGCAGGAGCTCTCCTCACTCATCATATGGACCTTACAGCACCTGCTGGGATCCTGGCTCAGCTACAGCCCAGCCAAAGGGCAGCAGTGGGATGGGGAGGGTGTAGATACTCACCTCCAGCTAAAAAGGGACACTTTGAAAACGTTGTGCAAACTTTGCTGGTTTGAGCTGGCAGTAAGTCAGAGACAGCTGGCCTCTCCCCTTCACCTAAGAAAAACAACAAACAAAAAAACAACCCCAAAGACCCTTAAAATTGAACAAAGGCATAACATGCCATTGCTTTACGTATTAAAAATACTAAAATTTGTTCCCATGGAAATCTTCAGGATCCTTTATTCTTTCCCCTGAGTAAGAAGAAATCTGTCTTCTATTTTTAAAAGGCACTAATTCTTTTGGACCCAAAGCCACAGAGAGACTCTGCTCAGTGTGTTCAGATTTTCTCTCCCCCAGCCCAGCCTGTCCCCACAGTGAGTGCTGAGGCAGAGCCCCAGCCCCTGCAGCCAGTAATTATGAGAACACTCTTCCTGCTGCCCAGCTGCAAATCCAGCTGTGCACCCACCACTGCTCCCATGCAGCAGAGGGACACAGCAAGCCCAGCCGACATTGGGAAGCCAAAGGTGAGCTCAGAGCTTGCAGGCAGAGCCCCAGCTATCAACAGATTATTGTAGGGACACCCACCTTCCTTCACACCCATGTCCAGGCTGGGACTTTAATTCCTCTCCCACACTGCCCCCATAAGAAACCAGGCACAAAGCAGAGTGCTCACCCCCCAGACTGTGGGAGGTGTGGGACTGTTACATCTTCTTCACAGCTCAGACCCAGCTCAGCATAAAACATTCTGTTTTTCTCTCTCTTTTTGCCTTTCCCCTTTTCTGAAAGATTCCTCCAGAGATAGACAACGAGGAAGCATTTTTGCCTCCAAGAAAGAATGAAAATTACAACCCTATCTACATAGCAAAGGATACTTTACCCCTGGGTGCAGAACGAGAAGGCTGAAAGAAATGTAAGCTAACACAAAAATTATGAGCAACTTTGGATGTGGGTAGGTCTCTGGTGTGAGACCAGCATGCAATCCTTTCTTATTTCTTCCTCCTTTCTGTTTCTAAGATGCAGATAGATATTCAGATCATATAGTGGGCAAGACAGATAAATAAATAAAGTTTTCAAGATTGCAGAATATGTAGAGCTCTGTGGTTGGGAATCTAATCACACAGGCAAGGATGAAGAATAAGCCTGAAGACCTAGTAAGAACAGGAAGATGAAATACATTCAGTGCTGTGTTAATTAATTAAACTACTTCAGTTAGGGACACAGGTTGGTGCCATTTCTTGTGCAATGTATTTATAGGCATATCATTCCAGCAGTGATGGAGAGTGAAACCTTGTCTGAAATACTGCTCCTCAACAGCCAGATAAGCACACTAGAACAGCTCTCAAATGTGTAAGCCAGCTCTTTTCCAGCCCTCAGTTATTCTCTGCCAGCTGTTTAGTCTTCCATAAAGAATACCTACATTTTTCCCGCATTCAAACATTTTATCAAACTGCCATATAAAAGCCAATGGATATTAAAACACAGTAGTACTGTATATTCTTGCTACAGCCCTGAATTCAATTATAATCCCTCAAGACCCCAGGGAAAAGTTACAAGTGGAAACACTGTGTGCTAAAAAAAAATGAGAAATGATGGCATTCGGCATTTGTAAGTTTATTTCTACTGCCTTTCCTCAGGAAAGCAGGTACAAATAATTTGCAGTCATGATATTGCTTTTGTTTGGAATCCCTCCTTTGCTTTGCTGCTAACTGCAGGTAATCTTTAGTTTAAGTTGTCTTGCTTATGAGGATACCAAAAATTCTCCTCCCTGCATAGATGCTCCCAAAGCATTAGACTTGTGACTAAACAAGGGAGTAGATTCAAAACCCATTGTTTGCTCCCCATACCAACAACTGCATCAGAAAAACAAATAAACAAAATTTTAAAAAAGGCTGTTTTACTTCCCCCCTCCTTTTTTTTTTTTTTTTTTTTGCATAGATACCTTTAAAGACTTTTACTTTGAGCGAATATGGGACTCGTCACTTGATGATTAATTTGCATGTTGATAGGCAGTCAGTGTAGCAGCTTTCAGATTAGGGACATTCCGCTGCACACTAAAAGGCACAAAGAACAAAAAGTGAATTTCAATCTTGCCCTTCTTTTCCAGTCAGTGCATTCCCAGCCCATGTCTATTGATGAGCAGTTGGAACAATACCAAAATGCAGTGTAAGATCAATCCTGCTGTTTACTTCGCTGAGCTGAAGGAACAAAGGACAGAAGAAAGGACTTAAACCCAGCTATAGTAAAAGAGTGGAGATGAAGGATGAAAAATGTGCCTGATGGGCAGTAGCACAGAGTAAACTCATTTAGAAAATAGGCAGCTCCAGCTGAGATAAAACCAATGATGATTTGTATTTTGTACTGTATCTTCAGGGGATAAAAGCACTTCTATCAGATACCATTGGAGGCAAACTTGAAACACTGCAGTAAAATGCTATGTTCCCTACCAGGGAGAGAATAAAAATTCCCATAATTGCAAAGGAGTGTTAAATATCTGATTGTGCATGCCTTTTTCCTCCCATGGTGAGATAACTCAGCCCGGTCCTCTTTTTAACTTCACAGGACCTGTCTAATAGAATATTCAGCTGGATGTTTTTGTATCAAATGCAGCATGACACCATGTTGTACTTTGATAAATACTGATAATTGTAATTTGGGGGATTATTAGCCTTTAAGACCTTTTTTTTTTTAAATAAAAAAAAAGCTATTTCAAATGAGAAGGCACTCAAGTGCCTGAACAGGCAGGAAGACGTGAAGAGAAAGGAAAAAGTTCTTCAAATGCAAATGCCTTAACAAACTGTAACTAATGAGAAGGAGAAAACAAAACACTCCCTTCTATTGCTAAACATAAATTATTCTAAATCAAAAATCTATTTACTTTTACTGAAAAGCAAGAATATCTGACACAATGAGCTACCACCATCTCAGGCACGGACAGCACAACACAGAATAATAGAGATGGGAAAAATGAACAGCAGGAGAATTGATGGTATCCTTGTTGATATTGAAGTACAGGGGAATTTTGTTGTTTACTGATCACCATTTACAGGGTTTGTTCACCTCTTTAGCTCGAAAAATTACTTCCCAGAGGCTATTACTTGCTGACAGGGATGTGTTGGCTCCTCACTTACACTGATCAATGTACATTCTTCCAGTAAGGATAAAATTTGAAGTAATTTATTTGATTTTCTATGATGCTTCAGAAGAATCTCTGACTGTCACCAAGCAGCAGATAAACAATGCTCCAGTTTGCAGGAGTAAGCACTTGGAGACAATTATAAATTGACCTGCCTAGACACCAGCACACCAGAGTGTGAACACTGTCTCTGCACACAGGGAGCTGGTGTAGGTACATATATACACACATATATATGTGCATTGTCAGGTAGGGAAGGTCACTGTTTAAGGGAATAAGAGGCAGCAATAGCAGAAAGTAAGTAGAAAAATCTGAGAGATTTGCACAAACCTCACATTTGAGAAAAGCCTCCGTGGTACATCCAAATGCAGCTGAGCCAGCAGGGCAGGAAGGATAAAAGGGCTGGAGCTAGGTACAAACATCTCTACTGCTGACTCAACAGCTGAGATTTTTCTGTGGGTTGATGAAGATCCAAAACATTTTCTCCATTTCACCTCACTTTCCAACCCCACTGTTTACTCTGAAGTGACCTGACGTGTCTCTTTTGTCCCAAGATACAATAGCTAAGAAACTCGGGCCCTGATTCTGCAACTCTCCTCTTTCACTGTTATTCAGCAGCAGACGTCAAGGCACTGCTGATTAAAAGCCAGCATATTAGAATTAGAAAGGAGGTACACTCTGTCTTGTGTTAACATCACTGCTACCAGTGCTAGAAATTTAAACCCTCTTTCTTACTAAAATATTACACCTGCAGGGGCTCTCCTGCAGTCTGACAGCCTGCCAAAAATTAGTCCAGCTGGGCAATAGCACATCCACCTTGCCCTGGTGAGAGAGAATAGCATTGTGTATGGACCAGTTCCCAGAAGAAGGAAGGGGTTTGGGTCTATTTACGGCAACTTTCTCTGAATTTAGAAGTATTTCTGTTTAGTTCTAGTGCAGCCTCTCTCTCCTTACATAACAAACAGCAGAATCAGATAAACTGCTGTTAATTTTAACTCTCTCTTCAGAACATTCCTACAAGCACACCCACCCATGTTTGGAAAGAATCCTCTATATTTATCCATAAGCATAAATATTTGGTACACTGATGGATCTTAAATTTTTAACTATGTTCTTCCAAGCTTGAGAGTTCATGTTTCTTCAGAGACAACACAAGCCAGTTTATAACCCTCTAGAAACTCACAGACTCTGATAAAGGTTCACAGCTGAAATAACCCTTACTATAGGGGTGAAAATACAACACCATCAGTATAAAATAAGGCAGCATTATTCTAAGTAATCCTGTGTCCATAAATAGTGCAAGATTAAAGTGCCTATAAATTGCAGAGTCTTATTTACTTCTAGATACAATTACGTTTGCAACGGATAAATGTCCAAAGTCTTTGAAATCTTAAGTCCCTGGTGTGAATTTCTGGATGCAAACCTATACTGCATGTATGTGTAATGCACATTCCTGTCAAGAATATAATTCATAAGGAGTCTAGCGAGAGAAAACCTACCTCCTTCTTCTAGCTTTTTTCCCCACTGCCATTTGCTCTGACAAAAACTCAAGTTGCCTTGAGTTTCTACAGTGCTGCAACTAAAAAAAAAAAAAGAAACAAACAACCCAGCACTGATAGGGAACACGCTCAGCACACCAAGGACAAGCCCCCTGCCCCCCACTCAAAGCTCATGCCTAAACAGACACAACTAATATTTGACCTACACACTGCAAAACAGGACTATAACAAAACAAAATACACCAAGAAGCATCATTCAGCCTCCCCAAAGAGTTTTTGAAATCTCAGTGTTATTTAATTCCTTAATTACTAATTACTTATCTCTTAATTACTTGAATCCCACAGGCAAGATTTTTTTATGTAACTGACACATTTTTAGAGATTATCCAAAATTTCACAGACCTTGCCAATTCACAGACATCAAGTTAGTTCTCTGAACTAACTTGAGTGAAAAAAAGAAAAAAAAACAGACAGCCAACCAGATGTCAAAATTGCACTAATACCTTTAGAATTTCCTCCTCTTCCTCAGCTCACCTCTTTTTTCAGTTCAGTGCAAACATAAGACTACAAAGATAGAATGTAGACTAACTTATTTTTTTGAGGCTGGGCATGCTGGTATCCTTGTTTTTAAGGGAAGGAGAAGTTCCCAAAACTTTAGAGACTTCATGATACTAGAGATGGGCTGGTGGCAAGAAATCAGGTGCAAAATCCAGGCTGGGTGGCTTACCTTGACAGCTGAAACATCAGTTCAGTCTATCCCTGAATTTAAGTACAGTAAGGGGCATTTACAGGAGGAAACACTCCCACAGCCTCTGCATAGATCTTGATGATGCCAACAACAGTGTTGGACACAACCAGTTCTCGGCATCTTTCCAAGCAGCCAGTGGGCACAAAGTTAATGCCCAAATATCCGGGGAGATGCTCCATGAAATCTTACCTTTCCTGCCCAGTTCTAACATAGATTTTTCTGAACCTTCCTTTACATTTCAGCTGGCTTGGACCAAAGCCTGTTTATTCCTAAAGATTTCCACTAACATGATTCTATCACTGCCTCCCTCCAAAGAGCTCAAGTCTTGGAGCAGGCACAGCTGGACTATCCAGAGCATCCTGTCCTGAAACATTTTGCTGTCAAAGCAGTGGGCAACATCATTTTTGTTTCAGTGACCTCTGTTCTTCAAGCCAGAGCAGTAGACAGACGTACCCTAAGCAGGCAATAAATTGTTTTAAAAGGAAACGAAATATCCAGTGCAAAGACATTGAAATGAAGGACATAAGAGTCTCTCTAAGTTTCTGTAATTTGCATCTAAAAAAAATAAATAAATTAAATAAAAGAGTTTCACAACTTGAGCTTGGACAAGAAACCAACTCCACAGCTCTGTGAGGTAATTCCAGCATTTTCCAAAAGAGGTTCTGGAGCACACAGAGCACAGGCAGAACACGAGCTGAGAGGCCAAGAATGGGAACAGCAAGTAACAACAGGTCAGAGGGCAAGGCTTGAAACTCTGCTTTTAAGGGGTTAGCATGGAAATAAATAAATAAATAAATAAATAAATAAATAAATAAATAAATAAATGAAACCTGAGAGTCAGTGCTGACTTTTATCAGACACCAGGGTCAATGGCTGCTCTAAAAGGCTGGGCTCCATCAGCCCCTGAGCCCTTGCCATCTGTGGGATTTGCTGATGGCAGCTGCAGACCCCAGGCTGATGTCTGTGGCTCTGACCAGCATTTCCAGGGCTTCTCACAGGACCAGCTGCCTTCCCCAAGACAAAACCAGTCTAGGTTCCATGGACCTCTCCGTGCTCCATACCACAGCAAATCACTTGGATGAGCAACAGCGGATTTCAGAGCTAAAACCAATGCAGTGGGGCACATCCCAAAGCTGCTGTTGGAGGCTGACTGCAGACTCCAGCATCCATGACATTTGGGTGACATCCACAGTGTCCTGTAGCTATAAAGGCTGGAAACTTTCCCCAAGCACACATTTCAACACCACCACCAAATGTTACTCTGATTCCTATTTCTTGATATCCCTTCCCTTGCTTTCTCAGCTTTCCCAAGTTTCTGTGTCAGGTGCTCCTTCCCCAGTCCACCCTCCCCCAGAATTATGGGGAGGAGAAGAGGACCAAGATGTTAAAAAGTAGCAATTTTCTAAAAGGCTATATCATAGAATGGATTAAAATCAGATGTTCAGGCTCTGCACAGGCAGTTCTCATGGAAAGTCTGCTGTGCAGGGATCAAAGGTTATCACTGTCTGGCTGATGTGATTAAATGAAACCCATCAATGGTGTGTCTGACTCCACATGTTCAAATGTGAAAATCTCTTTCCACCCTCCTGAAAAACCAAAGCAAGAAACTTGTCTACAATTACCACACCTTCCACTTTTCCCAGCAGCAAGGTTAGGAGCTCCACAGGTATAAAGGAATTATTCCTTATGCTACAAGAGCTCTAGTGAGTCTGATTCGTTATTTCCAAATGAGCAAAAACTGATACAGATCCCAAAAATAAAGTCTTCAACTAAGGATGTCAAGGAGGATCAGCTCAGATCCCTGAGAGGGAAT